CCACCCAAACATACCCATTCACTATCGCATCCTGCATCATCACACACATTGAACAGTGAAACAATCCCTGCATAAGATTAACCCACGAGGACTTGGCCGTTCATATTTATTCCACAACAGATTCTCAGTTATAAAAGCGATAAAGAACAACCTGGACCATGCCTTCTGAACAGTTTGAAACACCATTCATCTTTTACAAGTCCAAACAACGTGGACGCCTTTGTAATCACTCAACTCTAATATTTTCTGAAAAATTCAAAAGAAAAGAACAAAAAAAGTATGTGCTTTTAAGCAGCCATCAACACAAGTCAGATCATTTGTGGAGTGGGCTCTGACCCTGCCGTCAAAGCTGACCTGAGCCCAGAATGATACAACATCCGAGCAAAAAGACCAAGACACTCTATAACATTCTCCCCACATGGGAATCGAACTACGGCCTCCTGCGTTCAACGGCGAAGAGCCTAACTACTACACCACGGATGCAGATTACATTTTCTGAAATAAAGTTAGGAAATTTAGTTTTTAGTTCTAGTAAGTATTTTACTGCACTTGCAACACAATAAGGTCATATCAGTGCTGAAGATTAGAGGTGTTACAAGACAGTAACAAACACAAAAAAGAAGGAGGGGAGATAAGGACGATAGATGTTTGATAGGAAAGAAGAAGCAAACCATACCAGGGCACCCGCCAACCACCTCCTGCGTTCAACAGCTAATAGCCTAACTGCTACATCACAGATCTAACCGATGTAAGGGAAAATTTGAGGAAGAATAGGGTGGATAGCCGTTCCCACACTCTAGGTAGATTGAAGGAGAAGGGGGTCCAAAGAGGAGAAGGGAAACACAGCCATCTGTGCGGACCAGTCCGACGGATCTCCAACTAGATTATGATGGAGACTATAAGCAGACAAACTCTGGGATGGATCCTGAAGAGGGGGGGAGAGCAGAGATGGACATGTTCCGACTGCAGTGACCCCAACACAGTAGACAAGTAAGACAAGTAAGATGCAGGTTACATTTTCTTAAACAAAGTTAGGAAATGAAGTATCAAAAGAAACAGGGAAACACACACAAAAAAAATCAAACTAGTCCATATACTCACAGTTGGAGCCAGGTCGTGGCAGTGTGAGCAGTAGGTGGAGTAGAAGTTGATGAACCACGGCTCTCCCGTACCCTCCACCGATTGCTCTGAGAACACAGCAGGGGGG